TTACTTAAAAAATAGAAATAGAATTAATTAGTAAAATATTGAGAATTAAATATTTTTTATAATTTTATTAATAAAATTATGAAATTTATTATAATTCTTGAAATTTTACTAATTAATCCTATTTTTATTCTTTAAGTAATTTTATTCTACATATAAAACTACATCATATTGGCATATATTTACTTTATATTTTTTAAATTTAAAGAAAAGATGTTTAATTTTAGATTTTTTTATCAAAAATCCAAAATTAAGTATTTTTTCTTTATAAATAAAAATTATAAAATAAATATATACTTATTGATCAGTTGGTCTTATGAGACTGTAACCCAGGTAAGCAAAAGTATGCCATATATCCCAAGTGCCAATATAATATATATTATATGTAGAACCAACTTACTTAAAGAATAAAGATAGAATTGATTAGTTTTTTTTTTTAATATTAAGGTAAGTACTTGTGATCTAAAATTTTATTGTTAGTATATTTGTCTAATGGTTATATTAAAACCATAGAGGGCAACTATAAAAAGAGTATACAAATAGCTACTCATATAACTTTAGTTATAAGTAGTCTACCTGAAGGTTCTATACTAGCTGCCATACCTGAAACCTTCTTGTAGGTTCTCTATTTAACTACTTTAGTTTTCATATTCATTCATTTATTTTTGTTTACTAACAACTTCAGCCAATGTTAGTAAAAATATGCATGACAACTAAGTCTTTAAAGCAGTCTTTGAAACCTTTGACCTTGTACTAAACCTTTCAGAATCTTCTGTATCTTATTTTTACAGCTAATCTAGTATTACTATAGCCAAAACCAACATTAGTAGTTAGAGTGTACTATTAAATTACTATGCTCTTATAGAGTTCATCCCAATCCTGATACTAACTTTACAACATATCTCTACTAGTTTGATATTTAATCCAAGTTCTACCAAGCTACTATTCCAAATAGTCCAAAAAGATAGCTTATAACTATACACCTCTGGTTTACATGTTTGCTAACATGTACTCTTTTTCTTTAAAATCTGGAAATTCTGGTAGCCTGGTTGGTTCATTCAGTTCCTTCTCACAGACTAACACATTTGCTTAGTTTTACAAGTTCTAGCTTAGTTTTATAGATCTAGTCTTTACAGTAGCTCATCAAAAGTTTAGGTTACCTCTCTACTTGAGTCTTTCAAGTTGGCTTCCATCTTTCTACCTGGTTTCTGTGATTTACATGGTCTAAGAACTTATCTTGGATTCATACCACCTGGTACTGGTTTGTGTTTCTTCATACAATGTTGTATAAGTGTTTAAACCTTCTAGTCATGCTAGTATAACATGGATTGCAAGTATCTAATCCTAACTAATCACAGAAGACAGTTAATCATAATACAGAAAAAATTAGAAATTTTCACTAGCACTAGGATTTGAATTCTAGACCTGCTACTTGGAAGTTGACAATCTATCCATTTTACTAGGTTATATAGAATTGATTAGTAAAATTTTGAAAATAATATTTTTTATAATTTTATTAATAAAATTATGAAAATTGTTATAAGTCTTGAATTTTACTAATTAATTTTATCTTTATTTTTTAAATAACTTTATTCTATATATAAAATATATTATATAGGCATATATTTACTTTATATTTTTTAAATTTAAAAAAAAGATGTTTAATTTTGAATTTTTTATCAAAAATCTAAAATTAAGCATCTTTCCTTTAGAACTAAAAATTATAAACTAAATTTATACTAATATAATGTATTTTATATGTAGAACAAAGTTACTTAAAGAGTAAAAATAAGATTAATTAGTAAAATTTTAAGAAATATAACAATTTTCATAATTTTATTAATAAAATTATAAAAATATTATTATTCTTAAAATTTTACTAATTAATTCTAACTCTATTCTTTAAATAACTTTGTTCTACTTTTTAATTAACAAATTTATTATAAATCTGAATCTTATATTGTATTTTAAGATCTATAGCCTAATCTTCTGAATATAACACACTTTTAAATATTGTCTCATTTTTATTACACTCTCTTTTACTCAATTCTATTAGTTCAAAAATAAACTTTTGATATATTCAATAAATTAAATATCAAACTAATCTCCTATATATAATTACTAATATTTAAATTTAGATGAACCTTGGCCACTCTGATTAGTTTAGGTCACAGATAAATTAGTATAAGCTTCTATTTTTTTTATAATATTTTAAAAGCAAAATTGTATTTTATATAAAATCTCAATTAAATATTCAATAAAAATAGAGGCATGGTCTTACTATTAATATTAAAAAAAAAACAAACTTTGTTCTATATATAAAATACATTATATCAGTATATATTTACTTTTTATTTTTTAAATTTAAAGAAAAAATATTTAATTTTTGATTTTTTGATAAAAAAATTTAAAATTAGTGTTTCTAAGTTCAGTTTAGTTTAGTTTAGATTATAAACCAAGTTTATTGAACTGAACTAAACTTTAAAATTTGCAAATCATTAAACCTGAATCTGAACTAAACTTTAAATTTTGTAGATTATTGAAACTAAACCTGAACTAAACTTAAAATTTATGAACTTGAACTAAACCCAAACTTGAATTAAAAGTTTAATACTGAATCTAAACTGAACTTTTTTTTAAAAAAAATTCAAATTCAGGTTTAGTATTAAACTAAAACTGAACCTAAACTTGACCAAAGTTCAGTTTAGTTTAGGTTCATAAAAACATTACATGCTGGTATGATTATAGTTACAGATATCTTATCTTAACTAATCAATAGAATGCTGTTGCCATAATATTATCTATATATTACATAGGTTATTATTCAAATTTTCACTATTAATAGGTTTTGAACTTACAACCTATTACTTGGAATATTGACAACTTATCTACTTCACTAAGTTACCACATTCTGTCTAGAATGTTATAAAAAGTTAAACAAATATAATTGTTTTTTTTAGGTATTTTCTATTATAATTGTAAACTATCTTATAAAAATAAAATTAAAGAATTATCAGCTTTGAGGTAATAATGTACATTTGCTTTAAAATTACTTATAAGTTCTATAATGCTACAATTTATACTAGTTTATATTGCTACACTATTTATTAATTTACTTAACTTAATAAATTTCTAATAAATTTATATTAATATTGTATTCTTCTGTTATTTGCTATTCTATAAGTTTATTAAAAAATTTTTGAATTGACATTTTATATAAGATAGAATAAATGCATAATCTATAAAGTAATTTTGAATCTTTTAAAATATGTATATTAGCAAATGGCATTGTGTAAACAAGTGATAACACCTATATTATTATTCATATATCTCAATTATAAAAATACTATTAATGCTTAATTTAAACTAAACTACAAAAATACATATACAAATAACTTTAGTTTATTTTTGTACTTTTGTATTAAAATATACAATTAAAATTATTAATAAAGATATGAGCAAGGCCTCATCTTAACACAAAAAAAAAATACATATTAGTATAGAAGACCTGATTGTTTCTGTTGAACCTTTTATTACTAATGATTTAGTTTTGTAAACCTATTATCACTATTAATTAACACATTTAGAATAGTTAATTATTTTATTGATTTTAAGTACTAAAATATTCAGTAGTTTGTAAATGTTATTCTGAAAAATATTTCACATATATAAAATATGTATATGAATTTAGACAAAGAATATGCAAGGTTTCATTAGTTGAGATCAAAATTTTATTCTTTTAGTTATTGATATTTTATTCATCAGATTTATCATTATGGAGTCTAAGGGGTTGTGCTTTTATACTTTTGATGAAGTCAGTTCTTAAATGTTAACTTTGTCTTAATTTGCTTTCCATTAATTAAAGCACTTCACATTTCAAGTTAGATAAATTGCAACCAATAGTAACTGCAGAAAAGTATGTACATACTTAAACAGACTTTAATTTCTCATAATATTATCATTATTATAATAGTAATCTACAAAGCATTATAACTTTAATTTAATATATTTATCATCACTTACCTTTTAAATACCAATTATTTGATTAAATATACTGATACTAATACCAGAATGTTTTGTATACAGAAAATATCATACCAACTATCGATACTTATGTGAGTATTGTAAAGTAAAAGCCTGAAAGTGAAAATTTAGGTTTACCGTAACAAATTAGCCCCAGAATTATGTCAACATATTCTATCGAAGCCAACTAAACCAGTAGTGGACTAATGCTAAATTTTCTACAGTAAAAAATTCATCTTGCAGAATATATTTACTATGTAGAGGTAGTAAATCTATACATTATAGCGCATTTTTACATTACCTTAAAATCTATGACACATATATAACGCACAGGTTTAAATGATTTGACCGTGATTAACTATCAATGTGTATTTTTATCTCTATATATATATATATATAATTTTTTAATAAATAAATATATACTATCAACGGATCGACTTTAAAATAAACTTTACAGATGGGTTTAAGGTGGGAAGATGGGTTTGGCACGATAACTATATTAATTTTATTCAATTTGAGATTCATTTTAGTATGTGTATTCTGTTGTTGAAACCTAACCATTATTAATAATCATAATAATTTAATAATAATTATGGGTTCTTAATTTAGACCCAATTCTAAAATGTCACTATAATAAATATAAATTTTATTAGTAAAAAAAAAACAAATTTACAAATTTTAATTTTTGGACCCGGCCGGGTTATGAAACCAAAAAAATTAACTTTGTATGGCCTAATTTATAAATTTTACAAGTTTTTTTTATAATATTAACGTTAATGTTAATATTGTTAAAAATGACGAATCCTCTAAAAATAATGTAATTTGATTGGTTAATAATTCAGATAATTGGAACTCTAAGAATGTTTAAATCTTAATCAATAAACACCACAGCTTAATGTTTTTTTGAAAAACATAGAAAAAATGATGAGAATACATTTTTTAGAAATGTTTTAATTAAGAAGTGTTTACACTATTTGTCATTAAGAGCAATGTTCACTTTCAGATGACGGGTCATTACCCCACCAAGTTGGAAATGGTACCTGGAAAATAAAATTTGTCAAGTTATAAACATGAAAAAAATTAAATAGATCTAGTAAAAATATCAAAATAACCTACATTCACAATACCAGTAAGGCATATGAAAGCAACTATTGTCATAATTTGTGCACCACTATCAAATGCAGCAGACATAACAAAATTATATCTATTATGCAATATAAACGAATGAGATTAATTCAATTATTAATTAAAAGAAAATTAAATAAATAAATAACTTACTTTGTCCACCATCTATAAAATAATAAAATAATACAGTAATAAAATTTAATTTTAATTCATATACTTATAATAATAAATAGATTAATAATATACCTTTTCTGATAACGATAAGCGTAAAATTGACTCAAAATGCCTGCAATAAACCCAGTGATAATGAAATTTGAATAGGTTCCGGGAAAAATAGTCAAACCGTATGATATCACAGGTATATTCACAAGATTAAATTTTGCCTTTGGAAATTTTAGATGAAGCAAATAAAATGGTATTGGTAAAAAGCCACC